GGTAGACCAACTTTTTGAAATCAAGCTCCTTCTGGCCGTTCTATAATAATACGGTTGACAGAATTCTTTTCAGCTATATCTTAATTGTGATATGTTCGTATCATAACGAATGCGCGGCAACATATATTGATGGATAGCGCGCCAAACCACGAATTCTGTGAGAGAGAGCATGTCCAAATTCAAAAGCAACTATGTGGTTAGTTTATTAGTGCGATTATATTTTGACGTAATTTAGACTAAACATTTTTCGGCCAATAAAGTGGATACCAATAATTTCGCATTAGTAGTATCGCTACATTAAAACAGAGAACATTGTTTTACGCTCACTGAACTTATTAAAGCAAAGACGGGATGTTCACATATAAGCCCATAATCAATGCGTGCGCCACGCAAACTCACATAATACTCTACGCAATAACATATCACCCGACAAGTTTGAGGTTGCCACAAAGTTGCTACATACTCCTGAGAATATCACTTGTCCTGCCTGTGATCAAAACGATTTGTAAAAAATCCATTGAACAAATAATGATTTGTAAACTACTTCGTTAATTGAACATAAATTCTTCAATTTTTACGCATAGCACACACGTGCGAAAAAGCGGCGCCAGAGTAAACCGCATGCTTCAATGATACTTTAGCGTATGAGAGTTGAAAGAACTGAGAAAGTTTGCAAATATTTTTGGTAATTTGAGTTGAATCGAAAATCTGAGGTGTGTAACAAAAATGAGCACAGAAACGGAGCGATCGTGACCTTGTCAATGTGCAGCTTTCCGACATAAACAAGGAAAATCTGAATAGGCTAGATGCACGGAAACTGCTACTAAGTGAAATTTTCAAGTCAAATAATATACCGAGTTTTAAAAATGCGTCCTTTTCACTGAAAGAAGTTCTAGCCTTCAATATCTTGGAAGTTCTAGCCTTAGCAGTAAACAAAGAAATATTGTACTTCTTACAGCGTGCCTACTTTAACTGGAGCTAGGTTCACAGCAGATAGCTCTAATGAAATAAACTTCGAACTATTTTAACTGAAAGTAAATATTTAATATAATACGTTAATAACTAGAATCACGCTTGTCTGTCAAGGGCTTCTAAATATGTATACTCCACTGCATCTGACGTTCGTGTCAGCTATGAAATTCTTTGGTAAATAAATAATTTTCAAATGGCACAAAGCCTTTTGGTGGAATGCAGTCTGTTTAGAATATGGGAAATTCTCCGTTAAATTCGGAGCGTGAAAACTTCATAATATATAGTACGAGTGGCAATCGCTTAATAAGTAGCATAAGCGGAATATTCAAAAATTTGAAAACACTAAAAGTACGACAGCTGTGACCAACATGCACGCTCACATAGAACAAGTGAAACACTGATTTAGAAGTTGCCAAATTTATGATTTATGTTTGGCCAGTAAGCACGCCCCTATAATTACAGCGTAGTTGTGTAGGTAGACGTAGCATTCCTGTGCGAAATTAATTTAAAAATTTTAATAATCCAAAGAAGCATCAATGTGAAACGAAACTTCGCGAGGCAGGCACGACTTTAATCCTAGGGGTTAACTGTCATTAACTCCCGTTTCCATTGTGAAGTGACTCTCCTCTGGCAGATTGTTGCAGCAGATGGCAAGAGAATATACGTACACTTTTCGGGATTTCTCATACTCATATAAATATTTGGAGGCACTTAGAAACGACGATATATCAAGTTGCACTTATAAATTGCTGGGTTTTACAGTGTCACAGTTTGTTTCCACCAGTTACACTATCAGTAAGTCTTGAGAATAAAAAATGTACTGTTGTAAGAAAAAGGCTAATTTCTTTCCGCTGTTTGATTCGAAAATCGCACTAAATAACTAAACAACACGTTTAAGCATCACGACACCGCGCTGTATCAAAAAGCAGATGCCAAAACGAGTGAAACACGTAGTAAAGTAACTAACCATCTGGTCACATCGTACTCCAATGAAAGTCGTATTATCGGGATCGTATTGTGAGGAGGCGGGAGTTAGTTATTGCCCGAATGACAGCGAGAGCACTGAGACCTGGGGGATGGAAACTGGGACAGGCGTAATGAGCGATATGGAGACGGAACAACACTTGCCTGATGGAGCGAGACGAGAAGGAGGAACGAGCTGGGTCTTGTAGGACGGATAAGGTATTGGTCGAGAACATAATAAATACGACGAAACCGTTATTGTTGCAGCCCTTCGGACTAACCCCAAGCCGAGTGATGCATCCACGTTCAAGCAAATTACGAGCTATCTAACTACCCCGGGTCGGCTAAAACGGGAAGCGTAGAAGTGGATGTATGGGAGTGAAATGGACAGGGTTTGCTATATAATGTGGCCCCAAAGTCCAGGGATATGTCGAAAGCCGTAACCAGGAGATCCGGTGTGTCGTAAGAAGGAGAAGTGCCTAATTAATGTACCTCAGTGTGAATGGTGATTCACCTTGTGGACGCATCAATAAAGATTGCGCTTGCTTGTCACGTCATTCTTGCTACTGTATCTCTCATTGCCACTCAAATTGTGTTGGCTGGATCACCTTTCAATATTTGTATTCGCAGTTGTAGGCATGAGACCTGTCACCGATGACGAATGTGATTGTGTTTTGGACGATTTGGTATTTTAAGCTACGAAAATGTGTGCCGTGGGGAAAATGGAATATACACAACCTACCCGAACCGAACAAATGGAGATGCTTTAGGTTTTAACATTATCCACACTTAAAACGTTTTCCTAGTACTAGTGCCAAGTACTTTGGTTGAGTGAGTAGGTAAGTGCTGCAAGAGTTGTCCACCTACGATCACCAATTTTAATGACAAAAGGTGACCGACAAAAAAATAGCAAAACTGTCAGTTGTCGGATAACATGGATGCCATTGATGTACCTCGAAAATGAAATTGGTGCATCCTTACTCCTGATGGTTTCAATGTCTTCTCGTGTTCAGCAGTGCAAAAGTCGCTAGGAATATGCATTGCTTCCTAGTCAACATGACACTGCAGCTAGTTGCATTGCTCCTGTTATTCCGCAGACTCTATAGGCTAACTATCCATCAAACCGTGATGGGCGGCAGCACCTCACCCGTGGAGTTCGCAATTCAGTTCTGGTAGACATGTCTAAATACAGATCTCACCGCCCTAGAACTACCCCAACGCCGGGCTACCAAGCCTGTCAAGGGTCGGTATAATTTGTCATATGAATGAACGCTTGAAGTGCTCAAGGTCTTCAGAGGTCAGTATCGGTAACTGCGCTGGTCCTCATTTTGACTTGCCAAATTTCGAAACATCCCAAACACATCTGCCGCTAATTGCTATAGCTCAGTCACTACAGCAACTTGACACACCACCATCTCATACTGGTAGGTCATCACAGTCGCATGGAATGTCGTCGGAGTTTCTCTTCCATACATGTTTCCACAACGTGGAATACCCTACCAAATCTGTCATCTGCTCTCCGACGCTGGCAGAGTTAAAGCCCGAGTTTACCGTGCATTCATTTCGCTGTATCATCTTAAAATATCATTAAGCTTAGATACAACAGATGCCTGTAATAGATTTCACCGGCGGTCAACTAAAAGTTTGTGTTCCACGATTTTCATAGTATGAAAATGTACACTTGTAGACGATGCTAGTAATAACAACGTCCCATTTGCCGTCATTTCTTATGCATTTACATTAGATTGAAAGTATGTATGCTTTATTGGCTTTACTGGTGCAAACCCAATTTTGCTAGCAATTCTGATATTTGAAAGTTTCACCATAACAATTCTTCGGGAATTGGTATGCAAGATCGATTTTACCTGTATAAAACCATCGTTACATAACACTCGTGGGATTGTGCTATTCGTCATACGTGATTTATTAGAAGTAGATACACATCACACAAAACTGAGCATTTAATTCAGTGTTCCGCCCAACTGCTTAACAGCACAAGGCAATGAAACACTTCAACAACAACCAACCAAACACAGTATAATAGGGCGCAAGTAGTCGGGCAAATCCACAAATGATTTATGACGACCTAAAATGAACTGATGGTCACAACCCGCGTTCGAATCAAATGTGAGCTGGTGGACTTCATACGGTGAAAACTAACTTGACATTTAGGTGCAAGTCAGCTAGCATGCCAGATACTGCGTGGCCAGTTTTTCACGTCAAATTGATGAACATGGTGTACATTGGTTTGCGTACAGACTATGCGGCTGGGCGATTTTCCAGGTCAAGCTAACATAAATCATGGAAAATCCCTGTTTATGTTCTTTAACTATGGGCATCACTGAATAAGCAGACACAGAGGAAAACTTTCGGCATCCAGTCAGGCTTAACGCAATGGTACTAAAAAGATCTCAGACTGTGCATAATCTCGGCGAAATGCCAAACACGAAAACGAAGATGCCAGTTTACACCTCAAAGAATTAAATATTAATTTGTTTATTTATCTGTTAACTAGAAGTAACTTCCGGATTAGTGTTAGTAGTATCTGCACTTGATACAACTTGACACTTTGAGTTTCACGTAAAGTCAAACTACGCGCTTGTTGACGAATTTTGCATTTGTGAGATAAACTTAACCGCATTTCTGAATCCTACGACCTGCAAAATAAGGCTACATTTGTAAAAACTTATGTTTCTTCATACAGGTAGATGGTAAGACGCCGGAATTTCACCTTGATTTGTCAAGGTGATCACACCTGAAACATCATAACAAAGTTCAAAGTGGCATACAATGAACGCGCATTTCTCCACAGGATAAATACTCACTAGATTCAATGCGTGCAACCGTGTACTGGAGTTCTTCACTGAAACCATCATTGAACGAAACATGTTTGGCGCTACCTGGAGCCTCCTACTAGTGAGTTGCATGCGTCCTCTGTGCCTTTTCACCGTTGTCAGACTGTCGTAGTCATCGTAGTGTTTTTGCCTCCGGTTTAGCTGCTAATGCATAATGTCGGTAGCCGAACTTGTCATTGAAATTTCGCTACCTGGTTCTATAAGACTGTGCAATATAGCTTTAATGGGCCATTTGACAACTAAAGAAATAGTTATGTCATTTTCCTCCCAGAAGTCAATAGTCAGTGAACTCATTTGCGTGACCGACCACCACAGGCCATGTTTAGTTATGTTTCTATCACTTCTCCTAAAACTATGCGGACAAGAGTAGCGCTGATATCCTCGCGTTATTCTGGTTCCTTCTTTATTACCACAACAGATTTTGCCGATTGTTTCGATGAACACAACCACTGAAACCGAGGCTCCTGGAACGGAAGCTTGCGAAGCGTACTGCGAACGACATGCTGGTCTGGTTCTCAGTACGTTGGGATCAAGCAACATCACAGAGGAGCTTCAAGCAAAAATCGAAACGTACCTTAATTGCGAGGACGAGTGCCTACTTGCCGTGGCGCGCAGCCACTGAACAATTATCCGTTATAATACGTTTTAACATAACCTCTCCAATCTGTGATTTTGCGACAATTGCACCCTTTTTTCAACGCTGGTGTTACGCAACACTAATCCAACTGCCTCCCAATTCAGCAACTTCTTGTTCTACTGCGCGAAAATCTACAAGCGTTTGACTGTGTACTCCCTTCATATCAAAAATTTAAACTTTAGGTGCACAATACTCCGCTTTGGAAATTCCCTGACGTAGATATGTGATTCCCTGGTCCCGCACATGTGGTGATAGTGACGACTAAATTTATTGCAAGTTATTTCGCTTCAAGTATACTTGTGCTTACTTGGAGTATAGTCGGCTCGCTAACTCTTACTTTGACAATCCAACAGGAATTTCTATTGTGTAAGGTATTTCGCAACCAAGGCTTAAGCCCTTGTTCAGCTGAAAGATATTTCACCTGCCCCTCTAATAGAAGGGATTTGTTTCCATGATGCTGTCTTGAAATGAAATACACCTTGTGGTGGAGGCCATTCGCCTATGCGAAGTGTAAGTTAACTGAAGGGGATAATGAAACATCACCAAATGATGTAAATTCTCGCAAATGCCCTCAGTGTGTTAATGTAGATTGACTCGTCTTTCTGAACCAGGCGAAATCCAGCAAAAAACCCACTCAGTTCAGCATTGCTGACTCCAGGTTTTCAACTGTGGTGTTTCCGGTGGACATCTTCTGATGGATGGTTAATTAGTCGACATTTGTTTGTTAATGAAAGTTTTTATTTTGTGGCGTTCTAGTTGGTTGATTACAGCCTCAGCGTATTATAACTCCAATGTTTTTGAAAGTACACGGAGACGGACTTTTCGCGGCCACATTGCCACCTTGATTGCCACCTTCAAAAACGGGAGTGATTAGGCCATGTTTCTACATGAGAGGTAGAGTTTGCTCACCCAAGCAGCATAAAAATATGCATTAATGTCTCAGCCTGCGCTGCTGTTGCCACTTTCACTGCCATCGCGTTGATGTCATCGATTCCAGAAGAACTGCAGGTGTGCAGTGCGAGCATTTTATTCAACGCAATTGTGGCAGTAAAAGCGACGTTATTTATTCTTGAAATTGGGCATATAGATGTAGGTATCTTACAGTGGCAGATTTCTTCTTGTAAGATCGGGGAAAACTGTATATACAGAGCATATACTGCTCAACCAGCGTTCTGTGCCACTCCGACTCTCGTGTTGATTTGGGGATACCGTGCTTCACGTTCCGAATGGTGTTAAGGTGCTTCTATAGCAGCTCCCTGCTGTTGGCAAAGTTACAAGCCAAATGTTTTTCGTGAGTCAGATTACTAATGTTGGTTTTGGTCATGTAGTCGCTCCAGGTTTAATCACTGCGTCAAGCTCAATATGTGTGAGAAACTGCTTTCCTTGGCGACATGCATTTTGCAGTTGTACATCTGAGGAAAGACGATGAATTGGTAAAACAAAGCTTTTTGGTTTCTGAAGCAGTTGCGTTCAAGTTGTTGAAGAGTCCAACTATGTGAATCCAGGCGCTCTAAAAAGCGCCACCTTACAATGGTCAAGCATCCATTATTTTCCGCCTTAATAGCATATATCCATGCGACCGTCGTGGAAAACCCAAGCCATACATTCACTAAGTTTTATTTGTCTTAAACCCCAGTTTGCTGACTTTGACAAGCACACCTTAACTGTGCTCCTTCAAGGACGTTAAACTATATGACTGAACCATGGCGTGTGAAGTTTGTTCATGTTTTCAGTGAAGATACCACGAAACTATTTGAAACCGGTTACCGATGTGTTGTCACCGGATGGAACATCCAGTCAAATCGATACTGGATTAGTACTACGTTAATTCCACCTTGATGTTTGATAAACAGGAAAGTCATGTACTACAGCCTTAGTACAAACAGTCTTATTATTCTCTGTATCCGTCCATTGACATGCTTATTACGTATCAGAAATTGCGGCTAGTTTCGTTGCAGTATTACACAGTGGCAGTTCGAAATAATGATCCCCTGACTTGGGATCATTCGCCCTTTCAATACCATCATCCAAATAATAATGAACCACAAATTCTCCCTAAAAGTCCTTCCGAGTGTGCATGTCTGTGGCTTCTAGTGAAAAGCATGGTGGAATCATTATTTCTATTAGCGTCGCTTGCACTCCTATCAAAACAAGCAATACTGTGATGTGCCTCGAATAAGATTTTCTCGGAAGTATTGAATCAACTAGAGATTGCACGAAGCCTAGCGGAAAACTGTGTTCTAGTTAAGCATTAGTGATCTTGCGGACTTAAGTTGTCTTCTGGTTTACTAGAGATATTAAACTATGAATGCTATGAGCGGGAACTTCAAGAAATGTAGAAAAGTAGGTGGGGTTTGCTACTGATCGATATTTAATGAGCCCTCTTTCTGCATCCAATGGTCACATTTGTGTTTATGATTTACCTTGATTTACGTGACAGGACTCTGGTTCGTCTCGAATTGTGACATTTGGGAACACTTAAGATGTCCTGCACCAAGCGTTACATGACATCCAGACAGCATCATATTTCCTTCATGCATTGACAATTCTTTACGCAATTTTCCCAAGAGAAATGATGGTATAGAGTACCCGGCGGTAACCCACTTGCGTAAGCACACCTATGTCAGTGATCACTTCTGAAGGTGATTCGAGCAATTTGTAGTTGAGTTGGTCGGCCTGCTGTCGAAATATCGTTAGACAAATATGGTGAACCAACACTGGCTGGCTTTTGGGTCCATCGAAATGCTTTATCTTTCTAGTCACTTTTATAATGGGTGCGCTTTGTGCACTCATACATAATACCGGACATCACCCACTCCACTACTTACAGACCGACCCGCTCGCGGTGGAATTTTGCAGGCTTTCCTTGTGTTTTATGCTGCTGTAGCCAAGCAAGTACACTAATATTTGCTGAACGCTGAGCATCTTCTTATCATTGTGTACTGACTTGGCTGTCAAGAAGATCAGGCAAAACGGAATAGCCACGACAACGGCTGAAGAGAGTGACTAAGTCTGGAGCCCAGGACGGAAGGAAACAAAGCAGCTAAAAGCCTAAGTAACGAACAGGATAAGGTCCTTGAGCTACATAACCTACAGAGCCCATACCGAGAAAAGCCGGGGACGTATTGATGAGGTACCCTATTTTCCAGAGACAAAGACCATTGTTAACACCCATGCATACCTACAAGGAGAGCGACGAAGCCCAAGTGAGCTGACCAAGTGCTGTTGAGATTAGTATACCGGGCCAAAACGAGTCGAGTAGAACGACAGTTATGGTGTAAAATATGCAGAGCTATGTAACGGCGCAACCTTTGTATTCGATTTATGTGTCGCGAGAAGATTCAGAAAAATCTGCTACTAGTGGATGTGTAGCGTGACTCATATCTACCTGTCTGCATGATTGAGTAGCTTGCCTGTTTTCAAGTCAATAACTGTTGTGCCAAGCATGACTGCTACACCGATGTCGTGACCTAACAGTAGGTAGTCGATCTGGCTAGCACAATTTGCGGAGTAGGAGTTGGTGACATGGATCAGAATTTGGGCCGATCACTTTATGCAACGGAAGCAAAGGCGATACAAACGTATTAATGTTGCTGGGCACGTTTCCTTTGGAAAGACCAAAGGCTGCATACGTGCTAAATTGAAACCATAAACCGGCTATTTTTTCTCAGAAATGAAGGTGGTGCTGTGTGCGGAATTCGAGAAAAAAATAGACGGAGAGCACGCCTTGGAGCGGTTTCACTCCTCAAGCCAGGATGAGAATGAGGACCTCATATTTTCAAAGAGAATTTTCCAGACGTACCCGAACATCCTGATGTAGGAACTGCCACACTATGGGAAGTCATCAATCCTAGGAAAAACGTAACCGTCCCATCCATATACTGTGCGGTATTTGTTCTGTTGCGGTGGGAACCATATTTTAACACGCAAGCAAAGTTTTGGGCAACAGTGTTTCCCACATGTCTATTTCCTGATCCACAAACACTTTCATAATAATTTGATAAAACGGATGGTTCGTTTAACTTACGCGTTGCGTTGGTGTTGATCTATGGCAGACCTGGAGAACTATGTCAGGTGATAACATAAGTCATGTTAGTATCGCCGTGGTACCATGAGGAGTGAGTGTGGAACTTCCGTGGATTTAATATGAAGATTGCAGTGCAGGAGTGGGGAAGCTGGTTCCAGACAGCCAAAATTTATTTACTTTTAGGACCACCCTGGCTTCACAAATAAAATGCCAGCCGTTTCACGTGAACGTGTTTTCAGTCACTCGCAGAAACAAAACATGCGTAAGAAACTAAATGGCGTGATCTATTTAGGTATGTCGTTAAATAAGGTTGTACATCTTTAACACATCCGCGTTTATCGAAATGGAGTTACTTTTTAAGAAACTCGTAAGTTCGATCAGCACGAGTGTCTTTTGGCGCTCTATGAGCGACACAGTTTGATGCCCCCGGCAGTCCTTATATTTTTCTATTACTTTTCACTTGCAACTAATTTCGGTTTAGCTTAGCTGCTATTGTATTATGTACTTAATAGATGGGAATGTAGTTCTGATTAAAGTTGACGGTATTTGCATTCAGGTAAATGCACTTGCGGCATTTGGTAGCAGGTGGATTGAAAAAGCATCCTGAGTACTCAAACATCGTCTCGATTGAGATGAAATTCGGTCACTAAAAATTATTTGCGGTGTAACTGAACGGTTATACTATTGTGTAATTACCATTTGGGTATCGTGTTCGTCTTAAAATTGACGGTTGATGTAACTAGGCAAAATGCATACAAGGTATATATTAGGGGTGCGTTGGAAAAAACCTTCTGAGCGACCAAAAGTACTCCAAAATATCCAATTGGGAATACCGGTGGCAGAATAATTGGTCACTCAGGAACGTTTAAAGATTACTTCAGCGGACACGTTTTGGTCACTCGCTTGGACAGGGTAAATGCGAGCGCTCAGAATGAGCCCCATATTCGTGTTTCTCGGA